ATTTGTTGTATCTCAACATTTTCCTGTAACAATGTCCTTCTGTCATTCCAGATGTGAATCAGGAAACCTTCAGCTGATAAAAGCAGGAACTGCTTCTTCTGATGCTGAATGTGGAGGAAAACGTTCAAATGTTCCAGCTGTGATCGTCTCTGTTTTAGTTGTTTTATTAATAATATCTTCTGGATTAGTTTCTTTCTTTTGCTTCAAAAAGAAGAAAACACGTCTAAAACAAGGTGAGGATGATGGAGAACAATAAATGTGATCACGCTTTGTCTGGATGATGATATTTTTTCCAAGTCCCGACTCTGATTTTTTTTTTTTTTCTCTTGGTTTTGTTTCATAACAGGACAAAGACGTTCAAATGTTCAGGAAGAGGTAAGTTTGTTTCTCTCTCATGTGTTCACTGTTGACAACACTTGGTTTATCTGAGAAACTGAAGCCTGACATTCATTTTTTTCCTATTTCATCAAAAAAGGAAAAAGCAAATGGAAAGGAATTATCAGCATTTGTCGGTAAGTCAGCAGTGTGTTGTTCACTGAAATGTTCATGAGGTCAATGAGGTTTCTGCTTTAACTGAATGTTTTTCTCTCCTCAGTCTAAAACATGCAGCTGCAGGACAGCAGGTAGAACTTCATCCACCTGGATGCTGACACATTGTCTTTGCAGTGTACTGAAGTCAAACAACAGTGAGCTGAGGGTCCTGCTCACCCACAGTCTGGATCTTTAGCTCACAGCGACTTCACTGCACAGAACATGAAGCCGCTCTGGAACACAACAGATGAAGCATTAATTTAAAGACACACTGACTTCATTGATCTTCTCACAGTTGGAGGTGAACTTGAGACTGAAACTGGATTTTAAATGAGGACAAACTGAAGGAACAGAAGATAAAGTGTGCTTTCCTGCAGCATGATGGACCAACAGCTGCCATGAGGAGGAACATCTTCTACATCCATGGTGGCTTTTTTTTTTTGTATACTCTTCTCCCTTCAAAAGACATTTTTATGATGTAAAGAACATTTAACATGTAAATTATTTATATATAACTTGAGTTCAAATTGCTTGTCACCAACAGTAACTGTGTGTAAAATGAATATTGACTGTTCAGCTCCATATTAATGGACTGAAACCTACAGCTCCTGTTTTGAGGATTCCTGATAATCTGTGTTCCAGTGTTTGTGAAGCTGTACAGGTTGTAAATACAAACAGATGCAGTTCTGAATTTTGAATTTTTCTTTGGAAATGACAATACGTGTTAAAGGTTCAGCTTTAGAAGTCTGGTACTTCTAACGTGTAAATAGTTTGTTTTTTTTAACACAACTTTATCTTCTTAAACATTTTCTGCATTTTCTCCTCAGTCCTGGAAATCTTTAACTGTTTTAAACATGATTCATCGACTTTAGAGCAGCACAAGTTCAGGTTTAAAGGAGTCGAACTGGTTGGTGACACTGCAGCTGAAATGCAGCTCTGAATGGATATTTGTAAAGAGGATCCTGTTCATTAATGTACTGAGGCCTGAACATCACCATAAAACAGGTGGATGTGTTCAGAGTGTTAACGAGAGTCTAACCACAAGAAACCACAGTCGTCCACATTCAGCAGACTGCGGTCATGATCATTTGCTTGTTTCAGTTTCTTGCAGTTTCTGTTCATCAGTTTCACACAGTAACTGAAGTATTTCCTCTTTTCAGTTGGGTGTTAATGCTGTTTGCTTTTTTACAAGTTTGGTTACTTGTTTCTCTGAACAAACCTACTTTAGTTTCCTTGTTTGACTTTAGCTTTGACGACTGTTTCAGGTAGAAATGTTTTGAGTCAGAGCAGAAGATAAAGCTGAAATGTGATGTAAAATGTTCAGATGTGATGTTGACACTGACCCTGAAGGCTGATTCTAGTGTATTTCAACCTGTTGTAATTCCCAGTAATGTTTCTATTGTGGCTCTATGAGTCGTGCTAACTCTGTTCTCTTCACCTCTATTGAAGCAGAGAAACGAGGATTTATGCAAAACCGGATTTTTACATGAATCGTTGTAAAGATTTTTTTATTTATTTTTTTTTACGTTTGATTAAAAGGAAACTACAAGAAACAGGAAGTAGTTTTTTTTTAAACTCCAGTAAGGATCTCCATCCTGGGATTGTTGCATTTCCATTCATGTACGCCGGTTTGTTTACATTCATGCGGCTGATTTTCTGGAAACTGCAGCTAAACGCAGTGATGGATCAACCTGTGGACCACTATGAGCACAGTTACACATCATTTTACTTTGATGATTGGCCGTATTTTTTGTAAGAACCTACAGCAAACCTACATCTGTGCATGTTAGAGGTGAACATAGCCTTTATTGTGTTTTTATTCTTAGCTTCATTTCTACTGTACTGCTTTTGCATTTCTTGTCTTTCCTCTTCCTGGTCTTATTTGCATCCAGCTGCTGTAAAATGAACATTTCTCCTGCAACAGCTGATGTTCACAGCTCAGATACAGCTTCAAATAAAAGTGTAAACATGTGTGATAGTTTGGTTTGGATCCCTCTGCAGT